TATTAAAAATTAGTCAAAATGAGAATATGCTGTTTTGTATTGTAACCTCAGCTTATTTCTTTGGGAATATTAATTAATATAGAGGATGAGTGATTGTCGAAATAAATAATCGATCATTGAAAATAATCGATTATTTTCAATTAATCCATTGTTTGCAATCTATTTGTTTTTCGTATTTTCTTTAAAATAGACTACTTGATTATCTTTTAAAAATCAAAAATAATCGATTAATTAAAAAGCCAATTAACCGATAAATCAGTGTTTACAAAAAATTATCGTTTATTTTAAATAATCGATTATTTTCAAATAATCCATTTTTTTTTCGTCCATTGAAACAGATTATTCGATAATTATTCTATTATCTTTGAAAAATCGAAAATTATCGCTAAAAATTGATAAATTGAAAATAATTATTAATTATTAAAAAGCTGATTAACCGATAAATCGATATTTCTAAAAAAATAACCAAAATATTGATTATATAAAATAACCGATTATATTCGATCAATCGATTATTTTCATATAATACCTTTGAAAATTCGAAAATAATCGATTATTATCAAGAATTAATTTTTATTGTATTTCATTTAAAATCGATGATTTAATTATAATTGAAATACCGAAAATAATCGATTAGTTAAGAAACCGATTCTACGATAAATCTATTTTCCAAAAAATAACCGAATTATCGATTATTTTCTAATAATCCTTTTCATATTTCCTTTAAAATTGATTATTCTATTATCTTTGAAAATCTAAAATAACACCAGCACACAAAAAAAAGCTGTTTTTACATCAGACACGACCTACCTACCGGCATGTATTTTGATCCGCTGAATCCGAATTTCAAGTCAGTTTGGGCCGTCCACCCTTCAATATCCACCCTTGCAATATCTCTAAAAACTGATGTATGAACTGAATGAGGCGAAAGATTTTCTCAGATTTTGAACTGTTTTTTGTTGTTGATATCAAACTTTTTTGTTCTCAAATGACTTCCGCAGTATTTAGCGGATCGAAATACATAAGAATTATACTTGGTTTCGATTCATAATTTTTTTTATTACTAATTATCTTATTTTTACTATTTTTACAATTTACTCGATATTGAAGGGTGGACGGCCCAAACTGACTTTACATTCGGATTCAGCGGGTCAAAATACATGCCGGTAAGTAGGTCGTGTCTGATATACAAACAACTTTTTTTTTGTGTGCCGGTGTAATCGATAAAAATCAATAAATCGAAAATAATTAATAAATATTTAAAAAACTGATTAACCGATAAATCGATATTTCTAAAAAATAACCGAAATATTGGTTATATAAAATAACGAATTATATTCGATCAATCAATTATTTTCATATACCTTTGAAAATTTGAAAATAATCGATTAATCGAAAATAAATTAAAACACCGATTAGACGATAAATCGATTTTTCCAAAAAATCGATTATTTTCAATCAATCGATTATTTTGAATAAATCTACTTTCTTTTTGTATTTCTTTTAAAATCGATTATTACATTATCTTGAAATTTTAAGTTATTCATCCTGTATTTTATCTAATATTCTTATAAAAATACTACTAATCAACTAGGCTTCTTTACTTATTTATCTACCAAAAAGAGCTAAAAACCACCTTTAGTAAATATTCTTATAAAACTATTTTTTAAAAACAAAATTTCGGTAGCAATAATGTCTCTTTACTTCTTATTTAAATTAAATATTTAAAATTTTACCCTTTTGTAAATTTATGTAAGTAATACGAAATCTGTTTTCTGAAATATTTGATGAATATTTATTGAAACGCCTTAATGCGGATCTGATATATTCAGCTCAAAGGATTATGGCGCTTTATGTCAAAACGTTAATAAATATTTACCGCTGAAAACGAATTTATTTTTTATATTTCATAACATTGGTGTACTTGTATTATAAGTATATACAATTTCTCAAGATACATCGTAGCATTTTGAGTTTAAAATTGAATAACTAGAGTACTTTAAATTGCTAAAACACCAACAAATAAAGCAAAAAACAGCTGTCAATGGTGATTGAACTCAGGCTTAGGTGAGCGTTGAATGGGAAATCGGAGCAATTCGGGTGGCGTCGTGCAAACAATGATTTTCAATTGGTGGGTGACTTGGAGTTAAAACAGACAACATGCGCAGTGTGCAATGTTACATCTTCGGTGTCTTTTATCTAAGATCTAAACCTAGCTGCTCATCTAAATATCATCACTCAACAACGTAACCAAATTCAACCAGGCGATCATTTCTCGACTGTAAATTATTATCACACATTCTATATTCTTTTTGTCATTTTATTAACTCGTTTAAGTGTAATTATTTTTTTTTAATACTATAATATATTTAAAAAAAGAAAACATTTGATGTTATCAAATTTTAATTCATTGTTATGCTGTAAAAGCATAAACGAAATGTAATATCTTTTCGATCCATCTATGGAAGCAGGGATGAACTAATTATTGATTATTTTCGGAAAGTGAGGACGCTATTTTTAGTCCAATTTTTTTTAATAATGGATTACACATAAAATGCAACCCAATTTTGATTTATAACTATTTCGGAGATCTGATCCTTTTCGTATTTTCTGATTGAACGATTTGATAGGAAAATGTTTAACTTAGGTGGTTTCCAGGTTTCATTTTCAGAAAATTTGTAGTTCAGAAAATTTGTAGTTTATTCTTACAATGAAAAAGGTCTAAAAATAGGCCATTTCCTACCACACGTTTTTAATTAAAAACAACTAATTTAAAAAAAATCAATGCCTGAGCCACCTAAGTTGGACCTTTATCTACAATTAAAAAAAATAGTAGAATATGTAGAATAATTAATAAACGTTCTGCTAATTAAACATTTATAAACTCCCAACATAATACATGTGTCTCTCGACCACTCAGAGTAAGTAAGTAGTAAAGAGAGGAAAGTAAACAATATTTGTGTCGCCATGATAATATGGTCGAGAATTCTAATTAGAGAGAAATAGATTAATATCTCTATCTCTTTGTTTGTATTTGTCAGTTTTACAAAGCTTTTCTCAGACAATTATTCCAGTTTTTAATTTAAATTTGTTCGTGTTGTGGTGTTAAAAGTAATTGTTATTAATATTATATTCATAACAAAAAAGTCATATTTTGTTTTTACTTCATTTAAAATGCACCTACCTACCTACCTACCTTTTAAAACATTTTATTTTATATTCTATTTGGTCAACATTTTCGCATTTAAAATGACCCAGCGAAATTGTTTTACGGTACGCTACTGCTGAGAATTCTAAAACGAGTGAGAAAGCCTTTCTTAGAAAGAGAGATACTGATTATATGATAGCGAGATTAATATTGTATAACTTTATGCAGTGGTGGCCTATCTGCTATTATATTATCTAAGCTCGACCACGTTGCTAGCTCACATAACCTCACTTCCATATGTGCCAACAACTAAGTCTGAAAGTAACTAACATATCGCCTAGTGAGAACATTAGTGACCTAACTCCGAATATGTTGATCTGATAAACGCGGTTAAAGTTTGTACGAAAATTATTTTTTTTTTGGCTATACGTTTTTCTCTCTAAATTTTAAATATCTTTAAGTTATAATGTAACAGGTTTTTTTTTAAGTAAATGAATATTAATATTGTTACATTCGTCAGTATTGCCTTCGAAGGTGAAAATAAAAATACCAAGCATTACTGACAACTACAGCCACCAAGCGGACAGTAGTAGAACTATAATTTCGCCAGTTATGTACCAGTTGCGGGCTACATTAAGCAATTTTTTGAAGTACACAAGTCAAAAACGTGTATTTTTGAGTTACGTCACTGATGTTCTCACTAAACGATATATGTAATATGAGTTGCCTAACACCACAGGATATACGTTATAATTACGAAAATAGTTACAATTAACTTTTGGTTTGCAAACGCCATTCTAATGCACAAGGATACTCTGTCCTTAATGAACTCTTTAATTTCATGGGGTCTTGTGGTTTATATCCTAAATGTATCTCTTAAATAAATTTCTTGGTAAAATGAAATTAGTTTGAGATATTTTCTGTGCTAATTCTGGACCGATTTTAGTTCATCTATAATATATTACCTTTACAATTTTGCTTTACATGACTATTTGCAATATGTTTACATCATTTTTGTTCAGATATTTATTATGCATAAAGGAAATCAATATTTTCCGTTAGTTATGTACATTTAAAACTTATAATTGTTTCTAGTAACATTACAAAAAGAAAACATAACCTTACAATTTCTAAATTTCTCGACTATTCTGATGATTAGACAACACTGCAAGGCTGTGACTTCATAAATGATATATGACGTGCATCGGTATTTGTATTAAAAATACTATAGTTACTCTTCTATACCTATTTTATTTGTCAGAGCGAGAAAGGTACAACGTAATTTTAATAGTGATGTGTAATAGTGACCTAAATTATAAAATATTTCTAGGGCAAGGAAAATTATTAGTGAATAAAATTGAATAGGTAACTTTGAAAATTAAAAAATCACATACGTCAATATTTTGGGGAAAAAAATTATGTTGAGTTAGGTTAAATTGGCAAAATGTCTCATTTACTCTAATATAAATTGAATTTGCAAATAATTGTCTGAATCTAATTTTATTAAAAAATAAAAAGTAAGTTACTTCAATAAAATAGAGGTAAAACTTCGAAATTTCCACATCCGGATAGTAGGATATACAGCCAAAGGGTTATGTGAAATTATGTAGGCAATCTCTCTGATTCAAATAGAATAATTTGTACTGGGGGTAGTCATGTATGAGTTAAGGTTATAGGTAAATGTAAGAAATAAATAGCCCTTCTATATTTCACAATTAGATTGTGAGATTTAAAGTAATAATTAAAAACAAGACAAATTCTTATAATAACATTTTACGCCACTTCCTCTTCCCTCCCAACAATCTAAAATTGTTTTCTATTTTATTTTCTAAATGCATTTTTAAATACTTACCATACCAATTGGCCTTTTGTGTTCCTTTCTTCGTCGGCCACGATAAATGGAGTTTATTGGCCAAAATGGCCGCTGTAAAAGTGGATCCATTATTTCCACCCCATCCTACTAGCATAACACCTAATTTGGGTAATTTTTTTGTTGTTCTAATAACTAATTTTTCGGACAATGGCGTGACCTAAAATAAATATTTGAATTTGAGTTCGACTTATTGGCAAGTTTAGAGGATGAGTTAAAATTTCTTTTTATATTTACAACTTTGAGTATCATATTAAATGGTGCCCAACGTGAGGCAGTCAAATTAATAACATGGGTTTGTTAATTTGAACATTTAATATTTTCGCAAATTGTTTTAATAAATTATAAAAAATCTATCACATCACATACACAACAAAGCAATTTTGAATATAACAGAAAATGGATCTAAGAGGAAAAGAGTAGGAGAAGGGAAACAGTTTGAATAATTAGGAAAAACAGAAGGAGTAAGAAAGGAAGATCTACTTGAAATGGAAAATTGAAAGGACAAAACCAAAATCTTTGAAGAAGGAAGAAGAAAAAAGGAATCAATAAGGAATGGCGAACAATTCGAGAAGAGAATGAAGATAAAACAATAACGGAAATGTTGAATAAACTGAACAAGAAGATGGATAATAATATGAAGAAAATGGATAAAAATAGAAGCGCAGACAAAGAAGAAATTTAATAATTTAGGAAAGATGACAAAGAAGAAATTTATTAGAGAAGACAAAGTAGGCATGATGCAGATAATAAAAAATGGAAAAAATTAAGAAAAGATAGACGGACTGGAAAAAATTGGAAAAATAGTTAAAAGTAAAAATTAAATTATACATAAATTAGAAAACAAAAGAGACTAAGAATAATATAAGGGTGGAAATGATTCACAGAAGTATAGAAGTAGAAAATTTGAAAAATCATACACATGAAATTTGAGAAGAAAGAGAAATAAATTTTGATGAAGAAATAAAGAACGAAATAGACGATCAAAAAATGTAAGAAAAAGATTTAGTAAGTAAATAGAAGAGACAGAAATAAAAATTAAAGAAAATTGAAAATTGAAGAATTAAGAAAGAAGCGCGAAAGAAAATAAGGATGATTAAAGAAAAATAAATGAAGAAGAATTTAAGAAAAAGTAAGTAGGAAGATAAAGGAAGATAGGAAACAAAATGTAACAAGGAAAGAGAAATATTAAAAAATATAAAATAAAGGTAGTGGTAAACAAAAGAGTAAAGATATAAGTCAGAGGAAAATAGTAATGAAACATGGGCAGGAATTTAGAAAGCTTACGAAAAATATGAGTTTATCGGAGAAAGAAAGTGTAATAGAATATGGAAAATGAATTGGAAATAGGAAATATTAATCGTGTATATAGGCAGAGACAACAGAGACGTGTAACTTAATAGGAAAATCTGTTCGGTGATTATATTTATCACTCTCCAATAAAACTAACACCAATCTTAGAGGTCGCTGATGTTGCTGGTTTTTTGACGTTGACGTATAGATTAGAACTGACAATGTTATGAATGTTGTTATGAACGTGTGAATTTTATTAAAATTAATTTAATTTGGGCCCCGTTTATTTCTTTGAGTCTGATTTTGTTGTTTAATTAATTTTCTTGGGGGGATGTTTATTTTCGCATATTATTTTTTTCATGAAGCAATTTCTGGAACCAAACTTGCGTTTTTGTACTCGTTTCTTTCTAGAGGTAAGTAATTTCCAATTTATTAAGAAAACCACTGTATAATGTGTGTGTTTAATAATATATTACAAAATGGTTATAATTATTTTAGGTGAATTGGACCAGAGAACCGTTCTGCCGTCCTAAAAATAGATTGCGTATCTACAAAAAATCAAATTTTAATATTTTTGCATCAATGGGTTTGTGGAAAGTTAAATTAACTTTTTACCAAGCAGAAATGCTGTATAGGTTTCCAAGATATTAAAAATCCAACATATTAATTAGCCGGCTCTGAATACTTAAGGGCTAAGAAAATAACTTTAAATCCCATTTTCTTCGCTTATCGCCCTCAGTAGATACGGCATTTGTTTTTAGGACGGCAGCATTGTTAGAGCTACTTTTGTTCATTAAGTAGATAGATGAATGTCTGGACAGCTTTAATGGCAGCACAAAGTTCCCACCTACTAGAAAAGTAAAATGTATGCTGAGTAAAAAATCTCTGCACATGTAGTATTGGCAAAGGACTTTTGAAATGATTAGAGTTTGGCTAACTATTTCTTACATACACCTACCTCTAATAGCCACTCTAGTGGCTATTAGAAGATTATAGAGTCATTTAAACGAAGAAACAAAATTGAACCACCAAAGGGCAGAATTTTAAATCAGGATGCATTGGAAAATAAATTAAGTACCGTTTTAAAAATATATCAAGAAAAGTCTCTACGAGAAACGTTACAAAAAAGACTGATAATGATTCATGTTCATTTAGTGGGTGATACAGAAGAAAAAATACACGATGGGAGATAGCGGCAGAAAAGAAAATCTTTGAAGATATATAAATTTTATTAAAATTATTTATTTTTGTAAATTTTTTAGTATCAATATTAAATTGTATTTCCGTGATTTACTAGAGGGTAAAAAAGGTTCGAGGTAAGATTTTCTTTTAATATTTGTCCAAATGATTATGATTTCTGGATAATTGTAAAAGGAACATACGGATCTGGCATTGAGTTTGAGTTATTGGGCAAGTTTACAGGGTGAGTTAATTATTTTTATATACTTACAACTTTGATTATCATAAAATTATATCTCATTTCAGAGGGCTTCATACACACTTGAAATGATTTTACCTTCTGTTTCCATATTACATATCCGATTTTAATTAAATTTTCAATAGCCGATTTAGAAAAGAATCTACTTTACGGGAAAGTATTTGTTTTTTTATTGTGAACAACATATTAATATTTTCAATAATATTTTTAATAATATTTTTATTAATACGTTTCCCGAAAGTGTAGCTTTTTTTTAAATCTTTGGTATGAGTTTTATTTGCAAATAATGATAAATGAATCTTTGGGGCGTAAAATAAAAAGTGCATTTTACAACGATTGATTAGTGGCGCCGCGGCACCAAAATAACAGAAAATAAGTGAGTTAGTTAGGATGCGACCGTCCGCCAGTAACACCATAGTCGTGCGTTCCAGCCTACGGAAAGATTTTATTTTTATTTGTTTTTGGACTTTTCGATTGTGGTAGACGTTTATTTATTCTATTATAAATTTGGTTTTGCGTACTGATTCCGTTCACTCTCGGCACTTCTGTGTCTTTGTGTGATTTTGTAATTATGGGAGGAATAAAACAAACGAAGAGAGTTGATAAAGGAAAACGTTTGTTTTGTAGTGAAAAGAGGCGTAGCTGAAAGAAAGCTTAAAAAAATTACTCAAAAGGTGAGTGAAAATTCTGGATTAGTTTTTGAATAAAATACGTCTAATTGTATAATTTAGTAAACTTAGGGGATATAATTATTTTCGGTTTTTCAGGTCAACTAGTAATTGTAAGAATAATAAACAGTCCATTCCGGATGTTGGAGCTATATCCATGGACGTTTCTGAAGGGTAATTAATTCAATATCTTATGAAATATCCAATTAGCATATTGAGCATAATATATTATAATGTATACAGTGCAGATGTAAATAGTCCGCCTCCTATTATGTTTTGAACGGATCAATCTTTTTCAACCAAATTTGGCACACTTCTATGGTAGGTACTATAGGTACTACTTTTTATAATCCTTGTTTTCATTATGACGTCATTTACACAAGCGTGACGTCATTTGGGATAAAAATTAAATGGGAAGTTTGAAAGGTATTTTAATTCTGTATCCAGCACTATATACATTTAAATCTTGACATTATTTCTGCAATTTCACCTTAGCAGTTCATACAATACTTGGTTGTGGTTAAAGTCAGCATTTAATAGCACGTCCATTTTAAACTTGCGTAGGTGAGGTGAAAGTACAGAAACAAGGTCATGGTATAATGCCCATATCTTCCTAACGTTAAGTGGAAACGAAAAATGTATATACTGTTAGATACAGAATTAAAATAACTTTCAAACGAGATGTCAATAGGTAATTATAGTATTAGGTACACTGTTTAAACTGCGCAGGCGCAGCATCACGTGTCATGTCACTTTTCATGTCAAGTATCATGACATCTGTCAACAGTGTTGCCAATCAGTCAGTGTTGCCAACCTGCCACCTGTCAGGTTTGTGACTGGGCTTGCGACACGGCTAAGCGATCCAAAATGGCGGCCAACGTATACGATGACTGTTACTAAATCCTGCGCAGTGGCCTGCGTCTAGCGACATGAAGAACTGGAGGATAGCCTAAGAGAAGAGAACGAAAGGAAGCTTATAATTGTAACAACCAGCCGAGATGTGTTGAAGAAGGAAAAAGAGAAAAGAAAGAAAAGGGTGGCTTAGGAGAAGGAGGTATGTGGGAGGATGTCTAAGCTAACAAATTTGCCTAGTATCAAAAAGACGAAGAAGATGGCCGTTGAAGAGAGCTAATATTTCAAAAGTACCTAAATGTCATATACGAAAAGTTATCCAGCCTTACTGCTGGTGACATGAAGAACTGGAGGATGAGGAGGAGGAGGCCTAGTAAGGGGAGTAGGCTGAAGAAGAATAACATTAAAGCGCAATGGCCGTAAGAGCATAAATCATTGCTATTGGAAAAAACGAGTCAGAGCAAAGCTTCGCTACTATTCTAACGGGAGTCAAATTGCATGTCATTGAAATAAATCTAGCATTACCAAAAGGACCTTAAGTGGACAAACGGAAAGACAGAGAGAGAGACAGACCAAAGCATAGACAAACGGTCATCGTATACGGTGGCCGCCATCTTGGATCGCTTAGCCGTGTCGCAAGCGGAGTCGCAAACCTGATAGGTGGCAGGTTGGCAACTCTGTTGACAGATGACAGCTGACAGATGACATGACACGTGACATATGCCGCCCAGTTTTAAAAGTGTACCCAATACTCCCATTAACTACTGGTGTCACATAAGCCACTTTCCTATTTAACTTTTTTCCCAAAAGACGTCACGCTTGTGCAGATGACGTTGTAACGAAAACAAGTATTGTAAAAAGTAGTTCTTATAGTCCCATAGTGCCAAATTTAGGTTGAAAAATATCGAT